TGCAATTGGCCTGAAGGGTGGTTTTCCACAGCCCTATTGAGTTTACAATGAAAGCTCTTAGAGTCTTGTTGATGTTGTACCGCTCCAAGCATTCAATGATCCATGAGTGCAGCATTGTTACGGCCAGAGCCATTTGTGTATTTATTTTTTTGTTTTTTTTTGTAGTTTTTATTTTTTTCATTTTTGTACACCTTTTTCCTGTGAGCACATGTGATGCTGCCCCCGAGGAGCTGTCCAGAGCCCCACGTGTGCAGTAGGGCTGGGGGTAAACGATTATTTTTAAAACGATTATTCTGACGATTATTTTATCGAATAGTCGACTATTCTAATGACTATTTAGAAAATTAATCTAATGATTATTTTTCTATTGCACAATTAACAAAAACCAGAAAATCTCAAATAAATTCCTCAAAAAAATTGATAAATTCTTACTGTAAGAGAATAAACACTACAGGCCTTCCATTTTGTATAACACTGCTTTTATTGTGTTGCGGTTGGTTATGTTCTGGTGATGTGTAGAACTTGGGAGTGCAGGCTGCTGCCTGAGAGGTGGTTGGAGACGGAGTGTCTCCATGCTGCTTTGTTTTGGTCACTTATGTGCGCGAGGCGAGTGGTGTTGCGACTCTTCCTGGGGAGTTTGGCTCGTGTGCAAAAAGTAAGGGACAATAACGGGATTTAAAAGTTAAAATGATGATCAGGTTTATTTACAACTACAAAAAAAACCCATAAATCTTTCCATCCACAGGTTGGGAATAATAAAACTAATTCTGCCTGTGGCGAATTTAAACAAAAGTACAAATAACTAGGGATGTCCCACTGGGCAAAGATTACTGGGTTCTGGACCAAAATAAGAATCTCCAAAAGTCCAAACTCTAAACTGGGTGGTTAAACCAAACTCAAGGTGATATTTTAAACTAAACCGAAAACCCACAACACTCTAAATGTAATAAAAGGGAGATCTACACCACAAAAACGATAAACTCTAAACCAAAACATAACCGCTTATCCCAACGCAAGAAGCTGTTAGCGAAGATGCTAACAGTAGCTTTACCAACATTAAGTTCAAGTTACCAAGTTTAAATAAACCAAAAACACCCAGCAGCAAACAGACCAGCATGGAGGAGAGACTGCTACCACCAAAACAGCTCTCCTAATGTCTGAAAGAAGCTCCTTTATGAAGGGAGAAATGCTCCCGGTGATTTTCTACATCTGCAGTAGAGACGGAGCAGCGCATCTGACCCCGGAAGTTGTTGTCCGTTGCCGGGAGACGAAGACGGGCAAAACAGGAAAATAATCTAGTAGTGGACGGACATTGTACCAGGTCTTCGGTATTTGGTGGAGATGTTAGTGAAGGCGGAGAAGAGGGCGAACTAGAGGAAAAACAGGCAGATTCCTCCTCTATTTACAAACTCCTGGGGATGCAACAAGTGGGCGCGGTGCGTCGACTACCGGATCTGACGTCGACAAATTTTTAGAATCGAGCCGTCGACGTCGTCAAGGCTTCGCTACAGCCCTAGTGTGCAGACTGGGCTGGTGTGCTTAACCTGGCTCCACCCTGCACCAGCTGTGCAGAGTTCCCATCAGCAACTGATTAGAGCACATCAAGAGTGGATCAGCAGTTCCTAGCTGCCTTTTCCTCTGGCCTATTATCTCCCATTTGAACTTTTTTGTGTTGCGTTTGAAGAGACTTAAAGAGCTCTCTTGTTAAACTTTAGGTTTGTCCTGGGCAAAGACTCGTTTGTGTTCCCTTTGTCTTGTTTTGTCCTATTTGGCAAAAGCAAAAGACAGAAATTTAAACCTTTGTTAACTTTTTCAAACTGAGAGATGCATTCTCCATGTTGCCCCAGGTCCTCTAGATACCTGGGTTGTAACAGGCATTGAGTCATAGGCTTTCTTGTAATCAATCGAGGCCATGCACAGGTTGGTCGGTTGGGCAGTCTTGGGAGACTGTTTGGTCTGTCAGTGTTTGGCTACTCTGGTATCTCTGCTGATGTTTTTTTGTTTTGTGGGATCCTGCTTCCCCCAGCGAGAGTAGCCATCTGGGAGAAGATCTTGGGAGAAGCGAAGAGCACATTGACTCCTGCAGATTGATGACCTCGCCAGGCTGAAGTCCACCAATTCCTTCATGGGGGGTTTGTTGCTTGTCACTCAAGCACCCCACACACGAGGCTGTAACCAGGGGCGTCGGACTGGGGGGGGGGGGGGGGGGGGGGGGGGGTACCGTTTACCCAGGGCCCACTGCAGGGAGGGGCCTTGAGACAGCTTTGAATAAAAATGTTTTATTGTTGTTGTTTTTTTCCCCCCAACTTACTTAATGTCTTAATAAACTTCCCTTTACCTGGATAAAGAGGTTAAGAAACAGAATTTCGCCTTAAAAATAATAACTGAATAATCTCTGAGGCATCTATCACCCCTTAAAAATGTGCAAAGTGGTTTAGTCCACACCAGCGGCCAGGGGCTGCACAGTCGCATGTACAGCTATGAGACATCGCAGATGCCGACAGCCAGAGCTGGAGGCAGGAGAGTCAGTCATGTCTTTTCCCAAGAAAGGGAAATCTGGCTTCCAGAAAAGAAAAGAAAAGAAGGAGGAAAAGTTAATTGAACAGAAGCAAGTATTGACTAGGTTTTTCAAGAAGGAAGGTGAGCAGCAGCAGCAGAACACAGTTTTAGCTGATATTAGCTAGCTCTCAGAATCTGCATTCATGTTAGGTGTTCAGTGTTAAACGCCTTTAGTTTCACCATCAAGATCAAATATAAATTAATTAGTGTTATCAGTGAAAACACTAATTAATTTATATATATTAATCAGAATTATTATCGCGGGCGGCCGCCGCCAATTAATTCGCGGACCTCGCAGTAAAAACAGGTTCACTCTGTGTGGATATTTCAGCTCCTTCCCAGTCATGGACCAGGACAAACTTGGTATCGATGGATTCGTGGTAATCTCAGGAACGCCAAGCTGCCACTGTTTTTCGTATAGCATGATGACACTGGTGTTAGAGGATTGTTATTGACTTGGTTAGATATTTTAAGCCTATTTTAAATTTCTTTATATTTGATCTTGAAAACGGACAATCTTATAATTTGGCTGATAATGCAGGGATTATAAAATTTAGAGTACATTACATTCACAGAGAGAACCTGGTTTATTTCATGTCATATGTATTTAATATATCAATATATATATATATATATCAGTATTAGCAAAGCTTAACATCATGAACCACATGGCCCTTTAGACACAGTAGCAGCAGCAGTAGCAGCAGCAGGGCCCTCATTGTCTCCAGAAAGCACTGAGGAGACGAGACAAGGTGAGCTCATACAATTAAGTTATTCAATTTACAAGCAATCATTAGCAGCAGATTTATCTGAAAGGACATGTTAGGTTATATTTTGGTGACCTAATTCATGATCCATTTTGCTTGTGTGGTGTCTGTCCCCCTTGCAGCAGAGAAAGAGATAGAATATGTGAAAGAGGATGATGTAAGTGAAGAAAGGGAAGGGGATGGTTGCTCTGAAGGTAGTGAGGATGATGAGGAGAGGCCAGAAGAAGAAGACAGTGAGAGGCTGAGCAACACAGATGAGTGTTTGCCAGATGATCCAGGACTAAGGCCAGAGAAGCTCACTGGTCAACAGAGAGATACAATTGTCAGAAGACTGACGAGGATCTCACAGCTGAATTTGAAAATAAGATGCTACACCTGAGAACAATATATGGTGCCACATTTCCACACATTCGGTCTCCTCTTGAGCTGCTTAATGCCATCTACAGGATGCAATTACAGAGCATTTTTGGAGAAGTTTGTATTGGACTGAGGATATTTTGCACACTACCTGTGACTGTTGCTGGGGGTGAACGGGCTTTTAGCAAACTGAAACTGGTGAAAAATAATTTGAGATCAACAATGTCCCAGGATAGACTGAACAGCCTAGCTCTTCTTTCTATTGAAAGCCAATTAGCCAAAGGATTGGACTTTAAAGATCTCATAAGTGATTTTGCTAACATGAAGACCCGTCAGTGGGCATTTACTGGAAAATAAATTCCAGGATTTTTGTTTGAACACATTGTTGGCAAATAAAAATAATTATATGTGAAGTCTGGGCATTTCACTTTTATTATGCTGGCATTTGTATTTGCTCAATATAGAGGTTAAACTAAGATCATATTTATTATCTTGTCTTATAGCATGACAAAAAATGTGTGAGAGAGATATTAAACAATTGAGCATGGGGGCCCACCTAGAAGACTTGTACCTAGGGCCCAGAATTTGGTGCTACGCCCCTGGCTGTAACAAACAAAAGTGGAACAAGTGAAGCGCTATGAATACTTTCCGGATGCACTGTAGTTCTGGAAACATAAGTTAATTTTTTTTATATGTTGCTTTCAGTGATTGAAGGTTACAATAATAGCTTATCACTGTTGTGTGTTTACCTGTAATCTTATGATTTTTCTTCCTTTTCTTCAAGTGTATGTGCTGCTGAATCAAGTGAGTTTCCCTACTGTGGGACCAATAAATTTTATTTTATTCTATTGAAAGTAGATCTTGAAATTATAGTTTTTAGCGTAATGGTGTACCATGAGCCTGAGTTTTGGCATCAACCGGTCAGATCAGTGTTGAAACCGAGATGATGCTGCAGAAATGAGAAGAAGGCATGCTATTAGGAGAAATCAGTGCGACCCACCCGTCCACTGGCCACAAGGCGCGTTCACGCCACCCCTCCGATATTGTGTTGCGTTTAAAGATTTTTTTAATGAAAAATCCGTAAGTGCTTGTCACATGCAAACGTATTCGATTCAGTTTCACTTGAGTGACGCTGTTTTGTCGACTTCTGGTTGTCCAGATGTTTTACTATTACGTATTTTAGATTTCGGAAGAAAACTGCTCATTTACAGGCTCGTCTTGAAATAAAATTTTCGGGCGGAGGGAAAGCGGACTCGTGTAGCAACGCGGTTTCCTGCAGCACGTGAACGCAGCAGTGGTCTGGCGAGCACAGCCCTCCTCACTGACTGTACTGTATCGATGAAGTTGTTTCAAAGATGGCGGACTTCCTGCCGTCCCACTCGCTTCTATCTGTGTGTTTTCCTAGCTGTCTCCTCACAAGCGGCGAGGCAGAACAGCAGCGAAAGTCGAAGGAGATAGATAAGTGTATTAAACGAGATAAGACGTATGTTAAACGGCTGGTAAAGATCTTGCTACTCGGAGCAGGCGAAAGCGGCAAGTCTACTTTCCTCAAACAGATGCGTATTATACACGGACAGGACTTCGATAAGACGGCAAGAGAAGAGTTCCGACCTACGATCTATAGTAACGTGATTAAAGGTAAGGCCACGGCAGCGGCTTATTGTGTTTATGCGGTGCTGATCGGCTGTTTGGGCCTGTGTTCCTGCCTTCAGGGTGGGTAAGTGTATGTGGGAAGTTAAAACCATGATGCTAGCAGCTCTTTGTCGGCGTAACGCCGAGTGTGGGACAGCCCCAGTCTGGTTAGCTGGCTAACTAACCAAGGGACACCACCCATGGTTGTGTTAACTGAGCGGCGATGGGATCACCACGGCTCCTCAGCTTCACTCATCGGTCGGAATGTTTGACATGGTTGAAAATGTTCCTCCGCTTAAGGACGCCTCTCGGCCCCCCACCGCTCCTCTGCCCGTAGACCACCACGGGTCCGGTCCCTCCGGACACGGTACTATGGTGACACTAGCATCAGTCACCATGACACAACTCTAGCCGCCTCTGACCAACAAAACAGCTTCCTGCTTATCCACCAGAGTGATGTTACACATCTGAAACAGGACGCGGTTCTGGTTGTCGCTCTACATAACTGCTTTTTAGTTGGGATGCAAATGGTGATCGTTTTATTTAGTAATCTATATTGATATAAACAACAATATCTAAGTTAAACGGCCTTAAAACAGGAACTAACCTTGAATTGATGCCTTTGGCTTTGTAAGCAGCACCATCATCCCAGGGTGCCCCAGATTCTGGTTTATACTAGTAACCAAACATCTTTTCACAATTTAGGTAAAGTGGACCAGTTGTCATATCTCTTAGACTTTATGTGAACAGCACAAATTAGACTTAGGCCACTTTCGTGTGGAGCCCTAAATCAGGTGTATATCTGGCCCTGTTCAGCTTTAAAGGTGCAATATGCAAGAACATAGTGAGAATTTTACCATGAGTAAATTCCCAATGAGTCTAATGTTTCAGTCATTTTGGAAGGAAGGTTACACTGAAACATGTTTCATGTCCAGTAGGGTTGTAGCGAAGCATGGACGGCTCGATTCTAAAAATTCGTCGACGTCAGATCCGGTAGTCGACGCACCACGCCCACTTGTTGCATCCCCAGGAGTTTGTAAATAGAGGAGGAAGCTGCCTGTTTCCTCTAGTTCGCCCTCTTCTCCGCCTTCACTAACATCTCCGCCAAATACTGAAGACCCGGAATGATGTCCGTCCGCTACTAGATTCCTTTCCTGTTTTGCCCGCATTCGTCTCCCGGCAACGGACAACAACTTCCGGGGTCAGATGCGCTGCTCCGTCTCTATCGCAGATGTAGAAAATCACCGGGAGCATTTCTCCCTTCATAAAGGAGCTTCTTTCAGACATTAGGAGAGCTGTTTTGGTGGTAGCAGTCTCTCCTCCATGCTGCTCTGTTTGCTGGTATCTTGGTTTATTTAAACTTGGTAACTTGAACTTAACGTTGGTAAAGCTACTGTTAGCATTTTCGCTAACAGCTTCTTGCGTTTGGATAAGCTGTTACGTTTTGGTTTAGAGTTCATATTTTTTGTGGTGCAGATCTCCCTTTTATTACGTTTAGAGTGTTGTGGGTTTTCAGTTTAGTGTAAAATATCACCTTGAGTTTGGTTTAACCACCCAGTTTAGAGTTTGGACCTTTGGAGATCCTTATTTTGGTCCAGAACCCTGTAATCTTTGCCCAGTGGGACATCCCTAGTTATTTGTACTTTTGTTTTAATTCCCCACAGGCAGAATTAGTTTTATTATTCCCAACCTGTGGATGGAAAGATTTATGTTTTGTTGTTGTAAATAAACCTGATCATCATTTTAACTTTTAAATCCCGTGTTATTATGCCAAACTCCCCAGGAAGGGTCGTAACACCACTCGCCTCACGCTCAGAAGTGACCAAAACAAAGCAACATGGAGACACTCCGTCTCCAACCACCTCTCAGGCAGCAGCCTGCACTCCCAAGTTCTACACGTCACCAGAACATAACCAACCAACACAATAAAAGCAGCGTTATACCAAATGGAAGGCCTGTAGTGTTTATTCTCTTACAGTAACAATTTATCAATTTTTAGAGGAATTTATTTGAGATTTTTTGGTTTTTATTAACTGTGCAATAGAAAAATAATCATTAGATTAATCGTCTAAATAGTCATTAGAATAGTCGACTATTCGATAAAATAATCGTCAGAATAATCGTTTTAAAAATAACCGTTTACCCCCAGCCCTACTATCCAGCTGGCTGCTGGGTTGTCAGTTTTTCTCCTTTCAAACCAAAGGAAGGAGAGACGGAGCTACTGTTTAGCATCAGTGAGTGTGTGTGTGTGTGTGTGTGTGTGTGTGTGTGTGTGTGGGGGGGGGGGGGGGGGGGCGATATGCTTTTTTTTGGGACCGATACCGATATAAAACTTTTAACAAAGGCCAATATAATGGCCGATAAATCTCCCTCACAAAAAAAAAGAAATACAATTTTTCTTAAGCTAAACCCTTCATTCTCTGCCTTTTTGATGCAAACTTATTTATTACACACCAAAGAACTGTCTCCATAACTCACTAGGGTTTCCAAGTGATGCAAATACGATTTATTTAGCAGATCTCAAAAACAACAGAACATACAAACTCAGTCACAGCATAAATCTAACATTCAAGTTTTTTCTTGTAAACTGTGGTTTCCACAAATACATTTTAACTTAAAGGAATATTCCACCACTCAGTAAAACTGTTTTGTTAAGATTCCCCAGAGCTAGACAAGTCAGAAAAAGCATTTTATAACCAGCCCAATGTGACCTGGCAGCAGGTGTTTTTCTTAGTTCAGCATAAAACAATGTAAGTGAATTCACATAGATTATAGTGTTTTTATGTAGGTGAATGCAAGCCTTCCCTTCCATTGCTGTATGCTAAAACAACTGGTTACAACATTTTTTCCTCTGACTTGGCTAACTCTGGGGAATCTAACAACACACACAAGTTTAGGGACAGAAGATCCCTGTAAGAATATTAGAATTTTAAAAATGCAGCAATAAATAAAACGTAATACTTGTGCTTTGTAACAAAGTAACACTCTGTGGAAGGTAACTTGGTGAAATTATTCACCATGGACAGGAAATAATTGCACATAAGAATAAATAAATAAAAAGTTCCATAACAATAATTTCTGTTCAAAGTTCAAAGGAGTGGAGCCACCATCGACATTAATATATGGACAGTGGGTTTCCATAGGCTCCAATAATAAGTTTTTGTACTAAAATGGGAGGCGGCCACCACCGCCATTTTGACCGTGTCACAGGTTCCGTCAAACCCAGACAATTCCACAAAAGGGAAGAGAGGAGGAGCTGAGGGTGGGGGTGTAAGGCTGGGATCAACTGACGACACCCGGTCGAACTAGCTACAAGCTAACCCAAAGCTAATGCGGAGGTGGGAGCTAAGCTAACGGAGGTAGCAACCTAGCTACAACCGGAGTTAACTGTGCACAACACCAGAGCTTCTGAGTCAGAGATACGCCGGGCTGACCGCTGGGTTAAACCGGGTAGAACACAGAGGTCTAGGAGACCTCCACAAGCCGGCAGCCGCACAGCAGACAAGTGCCGCTGCGATCTGAGATGCGCAGAGCTGCCGCTGGGGAGAACCGGGTGGAAAGGTTTCCATCCCAGAGCTCCACAAGCCGTCAGCCCGCGCAGCAGACTGAAGCCGCGATCAGACAGAGATGGACCGGGCTGCAGGGAGGGGAGAAACAGCCGGCATTCCTGGTGGAAAACATCGGTCTCCCGAGAGCTCCACAAGCCGATAGTCGGAACCCAGCTCCACCAACATGTTATATTTCAACTAGGGATGGGTACCTTTGACATTTGAATCGATCCGGTACTAATTCCCGGTACCTACGAATCGATACCGGTACTTAACGTTACCAATTTTCGATACTTTTGAGTGTTTATTATTTTAATTCTCTTTTATAATTAGATATATATTTTTCTCAATTTATAACAATATTTGATAAATATCACGATAAATAACATACAACTGTTTGTATTTTAACATCGTCCTTGTAGTTTTATAAGCTGATAATTAAACTGAAGCAAACATCTTTACTGTGAACTAAATTTACTGTGTATCTTCATTCCTTTTGCCGTCTTTTTTCAATTGATTTTTCCTACTGGGAAGTTAGAATTTCCTAGGAGAAAGCGAACGCACCATTAGATGATAACAATGGTGGCAATGGAAGCTAACATATCAAGCTACGTTATCTTAAACAGTTTATTTAACTGCTGAAGCAGATTTAAACGATGATGCCTCACACTTAGATCATTGTCACTGGTTTCATCTTCAACCAGTCACCCGTCGCATTTAGTGAAGTGGACCCAAGCGTTAGCGTGTGTTCTTTCTACCATGCTGCTCTGTTTACAACTCGCTCTCAGCGACTGACGACATAACGCTCTTGCGTATGCGCAGCTGTCTAGGCAAGTTCTCGTTGTGAAGGACGGGCACCGAAACGAGGCACCGTTTCAAATGAAGTGAATCGGTGCTCGGTCGGTACTGTGGAATTCGGTCGGTACCTTAAAAAGTACAGAATTCGGTACCCATCCCTAATTTCAACCCATTTTCTAAAGTGCAGCATTATGTTAAATGCACTGGGTTTTACCCTATTACATTTAAATTTCATGGTTAAACAGTACATGTTAAAATCTAAGCTCAGCTCAGCAGTGACCTAAAATACATAAATATAATTTTACTTACCGAAAAAAATGAAGTGGAGACTTCTTGGACGCTCTATTAGTGCAATTAATGCCACAGCAAGTCATTTTGTCCAAAAATTGCACAAATAATATCCAAAAAAGAACACACACACACAGAGACTCAAAATCCCGCAACAGTTTCCAAGCCAGACCGAGGCTCTACTGAGGCCTTTCCCCGGAGCTAGCTCTGTGGTCACGTGGGTCTGATGCTCATTAATTATACAGAATTTTAGGCTTTTAATACACTTAAACAGAAGAGTGAGAAAAAAATTCACCCCCCTCAGAGTTGTCATGAGTAAACTAGATCATTTAAACAAAAACATGTTTTGGTACCAGGCTGTAAACATGTTTATTTCTGCTGTGAAATTGGTATTTTTATCATGGGAGTCAGTAGCCACGTTTACATGCGCATATTTAATCGGATTGAATGCCCATTCAGATTGAAAATTCTGCATGTAAACATGTCAATCAGAATATTCTGATCCGATTCGGCCCGATCGGATTGAAATTTCAATCCGATTGAGAGAGGTGGTTTATTCCGTTCTTCATTCCGATTGACGTGCATGTGCACAGCCATTCGGATTGTTGGGGTAAAACAATGCCCATTGCGCATGTGTGCAACAGCCAGCGGGCCTCTCCGCTGTCATTTGGACTGCCTGACTTCAAAAATGACGGTGTAATTAACAAGCGGCGGCTTTAAAATCCGACAACAAGCCGTCCCGTTTCAGTAATATTTAATTCAGAACTTGCATTTTGTGGAAGTAAAATAAAAATCTGATTATTGCACAAATCATTCGACAAAGATGTTCAAATCTGTACTGGAAATACGCAGGTTTATCGTGGGGGTTGCAGCGCACGGATCCCCGTTTCTGTCAGCTTTGAACGCAGCACCTTCTGCAGCAGGTGATGGAGACACGCTTGTAAAGAACACAGGATAATCTGGGTTTTACAGACCTGATTGGAGGCTGATGTTGGGTAGGAAAACGTCATCGGTTAAATACTCTGGACGACAGTAAAGTCCGTGTTCGTTAAAAGCACGTAAACGCAGATGACCTGAGATGCGGTTCGTTAATGATGAACACAGGCTTCTAAACTTTCTGAACATCTTCTGTTATTTTGTTTGAACAGATTTTTCTCAACAGTTTCAGCTGATCGTCACATGCTATTAATAATAAGCCACAACAGAGCTCAGTAATAAAACATGAGGCTAACCCCCCCCCCCCCCCGCTCTGTGCCGCAGCGCAGCGCAACAGCTGTCAATTCAGACCTGCGGACCAGCTGATCAAGAGGCAGACATAACCCTCCCTTATTTTAATCAACAATAAAATGCAGCAAAGCATATATCTGCAGTTATTCACTGAAGAAAACGTAACTTCTAAGAGCTAAATAAAAATATTAAATGGAATAAATAGATCAGGAAAGCAGGAAGAATAGTTATTTCTGTTTTTACATTTTTCTTTTCGTTTCATGGCGTTTGTTTACAATTTTTCTTTCGTGAAAGGCAACTCTGCGCATGCTCAACCTATTTAATCGGATTAAATGCTTGGTGCATATGTACGCACGGCATGATCGGATCATTTCAGTTCGTGTCCATGTGAACAGAGATTCGGAAATTCCGATCAACCAAGATTTCAATCGGATTGAGGAAATTAGGCACATGAAAACGCAGCTAATGAGGATTTGCTCGCTTCTGACACCAGCCCCTAGTGGATGAGGGTGGAACTGCAATTTTTGGTACTTCCATGTTTGACTCAATTTTACAATAATACCTAGCTGCAGACCCTCTCCAAACACGCTCCCGGCCAAACACGCCCCCCTGTTGAGCTACCCCCGAGCTCAATAACGGCGGCCCTCCCAGCGGGCGGGGAGCATCCCGCTGTCAGCTCCAGCAGCTCCACACAATTGAAAGAATACGTTTATACAGAAATAGTAATAATGTAATTAAATAGACAGGACTCCAGGTTTAAATATGAATGTAAGGATTTTTTTTCTTGCATACACACTTTATGGCCATCCCCAGTGAGATTATAAAACACAGATACCACCAACAAATAATCAGTTGCCGGACAATAGGCACAACATACCTATGCTTACTGAAGTTAGCAGGTGAGTAATGTATGTGCAAGTGTTTATTTTAAATGCAATAAAATTAAATATCAGAAAAAGTAATTAGTGGAAATCGTTTTAATTAACCCCTTAAGCCCACTAGCCTCCACTTTTTGGAGCACGCCTCCTACAGCAACATTTAGCTTTCAACCATTTGTTATTACTGGCACTAACAGTAGGTCTAAGTTCATACGAGTGAGTAGTTAATATTTATGTTACTATTTATGATTTTTTTATTGCTTCTTTACAGTGAAAAGCTGCTGATGTGTAATTTGTAGGCATATTTATATGTGTATATATGCATTTCATATATTCTGTTGACAGGAATAATTGCTGGCCCTTTGACACAAAATGTATTGATTTAGAAATTACTAAAATATTTTGCATTAAGTATACAATTCACAAGACTAGTAAACTGATATTGACCATACACTAATCTAGAAAGAATATGCTGTAAACACAAAAGCAGAAAAGTTTGGCTTTAGAAAAAAAGTTCAGACAAATGAAACAATCAGCAACAGCTTTTATTGGCTTTACAAAAACCTTCCAATAAATAAATAAATAAATAAATAAAATGTCCACACAATGCTACAGCCTCTTCAAAAATTCAGATGAGTCCAGAGCTTTTCTGAATTTCTTCGAGTATATGAGCAGTTCCATGGCATAGGACATCAGCTGCCTCTCACTAATGAGACAAAGATAAATAGCAATTAGTAAAAATGACATTTACACCTAGAGGCTGTCATTAACAATGTGAAAACAATACATATAGGCATTAGCACTGTTCTTGTGTTTGTAGAATACCTCCGGGCTACCACATTGCCGTTGTGAGTTTGCTGCTTATTAGATGAGGAGTCATAAACGGTCAAATAAATAGCCTATTGTTATGTTTATTTTGGCCACAAGGCTTGCATGTAGCCCATTAAAAATTATATAAAAAAAAATTTGCATCCATGACGTCTTCCCCCACTGCCAATAATGCTTAATTTTGTATAAAAGTGTTTCAGAAAAAAATTACGATTGCGCTATCTATCAAACTATGTCTTAAACGTTCAAATTTAAAGTACAAAATCTTCGCAAGTTGTAAAATTATAAATCTGTCTTTACCTGAACCGTCATTTCCATCTGTTGCAACACACATGCGAGTTCTCGTCTTCGTACATGCACCCGTGTTTTGTACATAGTGGCGTGTTTGGACAGGGCTGCGTCTGCAGCTAGACCTTACTCCAATTTTAGAGCTCCATTGTGGGGGCTTCGGAGCCACACAACATGAGTTCATAAAGTGGCGCCATCTGCTGTATAGGTAGCGCAATATCGGCCGTCTTTTTGGCTGATAGCCGATACTGTTAATGACCCCAATATCGGCCGATACATCGGTCGGGCCCTAGTGTGTGTGTGTGGGGGGGTGTCCTGCGAGCAAATACTGCAGTGCCGAGAATTGTAAGGAACAAACAACAGTCGCAGGTCCACCCATGATTTTATAAAAACATAAATGCACCCAAACATCTGAACTTTATTATTCAGACGTGAACACGACTTAGATTCTCGTGGGTCTCACTCTCGTCCAGTTGCACGGCTGTTGTTGACTGTAGAAGAGAAAAGAAGAACCTTCCCTGAGCTCATCAGGGCTGATGAACCCAACCATGATAAATGCATCTTAGACCTTTGAGGGTGGCGGGAGTGTGGATTTCTCCAATATGTACTAGGTGTTCACACCTGTATCGGGTCACCCAGGAAAGAAGTGCCAAGTGTGAGTGGTTATTACATGTCTCACCTGACTTTAGCATTACTGAGTAGTGGTTTTACCCGGGTAGACACATGCAAACAATGAAGCAAGCCTTTCATGACTACCAACACATATTTATCACGTTTACATCTGTAAACACAGTAGGTGTGACATCACCAGGTCACAGTGGAGCCATGTTTTTCACCCAAAGTTGGTCTACTTGTTTTGATGTGAATCCCAGGGAGTGAGGGAGTGTAAACTCAGGACTTCATCAGATCTTTACTTGAGACAAAAATAGCACCAGGTGATCGGTGAACTATGTGAGGTGACCTGTATGCTCCACAGAAACTCAACTCGGCACCAAAAATGGTGGTGATGTTGGGCATTCAGCTCACTTTTATGGCTTTTTGTCGGACTCTGAACCAGGAAATGGCTGCAGGCAGTGAAGCAGCAGCCAGAATGCTTCAGAGCAATCAGTGACTCCACCCCCTAGCCAACAGCGGCCAACAGTCGCAATACTGGCTCGGCGTCGGAACCACGAGGAAGCAGGGACTGGAAAGTAGAGGGAATTACCAATCAGTGCAGTTGGAAAATGGTTCGGGTCAAAGGTCATTTCCATTGGAATCTTGGTAGCTCTGACAGCGTCTGTATGTGCTGTTCAGGAGCTGTGTTTTAATTCAGACTAATTTCATGATCGTTCCCAGGAAACAAGACAATTTCGGGAGTCGTCCCAAACTATTCCGTGGCTGTGCATGTTAGAGCCATTAATGGAAATGCAAGTTGGTCATGCCAACACCCGTGCTGTTAGTGAGGGACTAAAATACACAATCCTGACCAAGTCTTTGCTCTTCCCTTCAGGTATGCGAGTGTTGGTGGATGCTAGAGAAAAGCTGCACATCCCATGGGGCAACCCATCCAACCAGCAGCATGGGGATCGCATGATGGCATTTGATACCCGATCAGCCATGACCCAGGGACATGGCATGGTGGAGCCCAAAGTGTTTCTTGGCTATGTTCAGTCCATCCGTGAGCTGTGGGCTGACCAGGGCATCCAGCAAGCCTACGATCGCCGCAGGGAGTTCCAGCTGGTGAGCAGGAGGGTGCATGTTCTGGTTAACCTTTTGAACACATAGGAAAACGTTACAGCATGCAATATATTTAGTTGCTCTTGAGAGAACTCACATTTACACACAATGTTCTGTTATGTTAGCAGCATTCTCTATTAGACCTCTACTTCCACGAAAGGTTCTCAGTTTATACCATGATCAGTAAAGGTCAGGTCCTCAGGTTCCGCTTCTATGCCAGTGCTTTTCAAACCTTTCACCTTTGACCCACTAAATGGCTGTGGAAGAAAACCAAGGGGTGTGTGTGGGTGGGGTGGGGGGGTGGGGGGGGGGTCATTAAGGACCATTTTACATCTAAACTGGTAGTGTTTTTGTTGATTCTTGTTCATGTAGTTCGATCTGTCATCTATTATCAGGATTCAACCCCAGGAATGACTGAACTATTCTAATGTCCAGCTGCTTTAATGTTTACATCACAGTAGGGGCGCTTAATGGTGTTTATGATTACCTTCATCTTCCTTCTCTCGGTCCTCAGGGGGAGTCGGTCAAGTATTTCCTGGACAATTTGGAAAGGCTTGAAATGTTTGTAAGTCCCTTCCCATTCTAACACACACACACACACACACACACACACACACACACACACACACACACACACACACACACACACACACACACACACACACACACACACACACACACACACACACACCCCCCCCCAAAAAAAGGAGGATGGCTGATGGAGCAGATGGTGGTTTGTTGAAAAGGGAAGTGAAAGTGTTGTTTTCCTGTTTGGGGCCACGACTTCACTCTGACTGGTTACTGTTACACTCCATAGCTGTCAGGATTAAATACTCCAAGTCATGTCTAAGGACAAACACCATTGAGTAAAGCTGCTCAAATAAGGTAAACCAATTGTATTTACATTATTTAGGTCAGTTGGTAAACTGTGATCATCACTCGGTAATGGGAAACACCTTCCAGAGTTCATTTCTTAAAGTGACAATGTGTATTTTCCCTGGCAGTAGGGGGCAGTAGATACCTAAATCACTGCAAGCAAGCGTTTTTTGTGTTTGAGTAAGACCTTACCAACGGATGCCCATTAGGTCAAAATCCCTGGGAGAAAAATAACAAGCACACCAGATTCCCTTTCATCTGGCAACAAGTGAAGAGGTAAATGTGTAAAACAACATTTAAGAATGACAAAAGTTTTGTAGGCGATTGTTACAAATCAGTAAATGCATTTTGTCCTCACGGGCTCCCGTAGAGGGAAACAGGGTGTCAGGTTGTTTTATGGTTATATGTTACAAAGCCGTCAATATTTTTCAACAACTGGACATAATTTAATTCATTTTCAACAACAATTTAATTGATATTTTCAGAGATTAATGGTAAACTACACATTGTCACTTTAAATAAAAACACGGGCATTGATTTGTATCAGCAGATGGCGGAAAGTATTAATTATAAAACCAAAAGACTTCAACCACAGCAACAACAATGTAGCTCCTCCTACATAAACGAGTATGGTCGCTAGCACATACAGCTGCACCAAGCTATCACCCAGGAGGTCCACCTGGAACTGGAAATCCAGGCAGCACTTGAAGCTCAGAACAAGCAGGAACATCCTCACTATGGTCCCAGGGAGCTTGTGAGTGTCTCCAGCAGTCATCCAAGGAGAGACAGGAGACACCCTGGACAGGTCTCTCTAATCCACCACAGGGACACATGGACACAAACAACCACTCCCTCCCCCACCCCCAGGAGAAATAAAACTTTTCACCCTCCCCATACCCACAGTCCACCGTACCAGTTAGTTGTAGAAGGAACACACAGGAAAAGATTGTGACCGTCCCTGGTTTACCTTTATGTTTATGTTGAGTCAGCAGACCAAAAGGGCTTAGTATGCTACGCTATTAGCATAGGACAGCAGTAGCTCAGGAGTTAGAGGGTTGTAGGTTGGATCCCAGCTCCTGCCAGAGAATGCTGCTGTTGTGTCCTTGGGCAAGACAACCCACCTTGCCTGCTGGTCGTGGTCGGAGGGACTGGTGGCGCTAGTGTTTGGAAGCCTCACTTCTATTGGTGTGCTGCAGGGCAGCTGTGGCTACAATGTAGCTCACCACCATCAGCGTGTGAATGGATGAATGATGGTGTAGTGTAAATCACTTTGGAGTCCTCTGACGCTGAAGGTGCTATGTGTGCGGGTCATTTAGCACTAATCACTCACTAGCTACGGCTCTTATTGTAAAGAGGTTGTTTGTTTATTTCTCTTGAACAGACTTGTGTGCTCTGTCACCACGTTGGATCTTCAACAGCCCTACTGTTATTTTTTGTTACCGTGGAACTGAAGTCATTTTCCATCAGTTCCTCTGAATTCTAATGCTGGACTGAGAAGGGAAATCTATTAGCGCATTAGCTCCACCGGACCTTCTCCGTCAGCTCAGTGGACCTGAGTGTTTATAGGCTACTTCTGCTGCCCTGTTGATTAGTCTAACCCCTCCTTTCCACCGGAGCCGTCAGCAGCACGTTACTGCAGCAGCACGTCTTGCTCGCGTATGCTGCTGCTTGGCCCTTCCCATGAGACGCGAAGCAGCAGGCGAGCAGCTGTCACCGACAGAGCACAAAGTCACGCGACATTAGCAAAATCACGCGTGACTTCGTTAGTAAACATAACAACAAGCAGGAGTAATCACTTCAGTAATCAACCTTTCGTCGTCTATTATGGAAAAACAAAGGAGACTGCTAGTTAGGTGATAAAAATTTTTTTAAGTAAAGCAACCGGAAGGCAGTACGTTTCCTTATTCTGAAAATCTCTGGAAGCTTCGCTCCTTTTCCGCGTCCGATTTCCTGTCTTTCCTTCCCCAGAAATGTCGAACTTAACCCGTTTCAGAGGCGTAGTGCGTAGAAAATAGAACCGGCTGCTCCTGAGACGCGGCCGACCCGCGCTGCTGACGGCTCCGGTGGAAAAGGTTCTGTTGACCACAGCGGTTCCTATCAGCAGCTATGACGTGCTGCTGCAGTAACGTGCTGCTGACGGCTCCGTCACGGCTCTGGTGGAAAGGAGGGGTAATGGTTGGTTTGTGCATGATGCGTCTGCGAGGTCCGCACTGCTCTGCGCCGCAAAATTGCGTCATTTTAACAACCACGCCCCTCCACCGCGCCTCTGCACGGCCCATAATTTCCGCACCGCGCACCTAGGAAATTTTCTAACCACGTGGATGGTCGGACGCGGAAAACGTGGCAGACTGGCAAGAGTTGGTATGGCAGAGGTTCGTAAATACAGACATTTGTATGATTCAGCTCAAAGATCTCCGTGATCAACATGTTGTTAATAATTCTTGGAGAGAAATAGCTCGCACTGTCGGAAAAGACGAGGATGCTGTTAAACAATGCTGGAATGCCATGTTGTAAACAACAGTAATTTCTACTTCTACTATGGTGTAGTGTTGGATGCATGCTGTAGAGCTCCATGCTGCCCCCTACAGTTTGGGAGAATAGTGGGTCACCGCAGAGAAAAGCCGCCTGAACCATAAACGCTGCAAGTTGTGAAGCGCGTTCCATCCGCGAGCCGCATCACCAAGCTGAAAGTGAATGCGTCAAGCATCAACCAAGCTTAAGTATTGCTGTCATCAAGTGACTAAAGGGTGCTAGTTAAGCATTCATCCATGAAAAAGATGCTAAAATAGTGGATCCTCCTGCCGCTTGCACCCCCCACTAATTGAAAAGCACTGAGTTAGCTGAACATTCATGTAACTGATTTTCAGGACGAAACCCACACATGCATGGGGAGAACATGCTAACTCTGCTCATGCATGGGGAGAACATGCTAACTCTGCTCCTGCATGGGGAGAACATGCTAACTCTGCTCCTGCATGGGGAGAACATGCTAACTCTGCTCCTGCATGGGGAGAACATGCTAACTCTGCTCCTGCATGGGGAGAACATGCTAACTCTGCTCATGCATGGGGAGAACATGCTAACTCTGCTCCTGCATGGGGAGAACATGCTAACTCTGCTCCTGCATGGGGAGAACATGCTAACTCTGCTCCTGCATGGGGAGAACATGCTAACTCTGCTCATGCATGGGGAGAACATGCTAACTCTGCTCCTGCATGGGGAGAACATGCTAACTCTGCTCCTGCATGGGGAGAACATGCTAACTCTGCTCATGCATGGGGAGAACATGCTAACTCTGCTCATGCATGGGGAGAACATGCTAACTCTGCTCATGCATGGGGAGAACATGCTAACTCTGCTCATGCATGGGGAGAACATGGTAACTCCATGCATACTGTGTACAGGTGGGATTTAAACCTGCAACCTTCTTGCTTCAGTGCCACCACCCAGCCCAAGAGTGACTCCCAACTGGGGAATTTTGCAGGAGATTTTTCAGAATTACTGGGGCTCTATCTAATGGTATCCTTTCTTCTTTTTTTCTTTTCTTTTTATAAAGCGCCAAATCACGACAAGAGTTGTCTCAAGGCACTTCACACAGTAAACATTCCAATATGGGTCTGGGGCCTCATTTATAAAAGCTTGCTTACGCAGAAAACGGGGTAAGGAACTTTGCACGCAAACTTTGGGATTTATAAAAGAAATCAGAAGAAGCATCAGCAGGGGGACAGTTTGAGACAGAATGTCATGCGTCTGTGACAGTGTGACCGTCCTGTCATTGTAACCTGATTAAGCATACGTCCTGGCTACTTGGTCATGGGGGATCTGTTTGGCTGACTGGTTAGCGCACTTGACTCTCACTCTGGAGACTGGGGATCAAATCCCGATCGGACCATTTATTTTAATATCCGCCACAGGTCTCACTGAAGAACTCAGCATTGACGGCTTCAGCAACGCTGTGCCACTCCGTGGATTTTCTCTTATTTGCAGTGTTGGGAGTAACGCGGTACAAAAGTAATTAATTACTGTAATGCATTGCTTTTTGCTGTAATATGTGGTAATGTAAGGCATTACAGGGAAAGAAAATTGTAATATTTACTCGGTACAATTGTCAGTAACGCAGTAATTACAATGCATTTTAAAACCCAGAATTAAGCTGCGTTTCTTAAAAATTCAAATTGCGGGAAACCCGAAAAAAGATCCAGTATCTGCATATATTACGTCATTTATGGACTCAGCTTTGCGGGCAGAGAGGATGCAACAGCAACGGCTCATACTCCAGCTGCGTCCTGCACGCGGCCGCTGTAACATTCACAAAATCGCTCCACTAAAACAAAATAATTCACCTGCGATCGTTCATGTCAGCGCATGTTCTCTGGTATTCTGTACTTTTCTGACGTGCTTTGCCTCAGCTGAGTTAATCTGGGCTCCGGTGATTTCAACTCATTGCTGCTGGAGCGCCGCGCATGTGAAGATCCCTTTGGCTGATAGTTAGAAAGTAGGAAATCTAGGAAATGGATTTTCTGGAAGACGAAGAAAACATGCAGCATGCAGGACGGTTAGAGAGAGAAAGGGCAGGAAATTATTCAAATAAAATCAAGAAAACAAAACAAAGTGCTTGAAAAGAAAAAATGTAGGTAGATTTATCCCCAATACCCATTTTTACCAGTGAAAAGCAATAATATATAAGCATTTAATATTTATACATGTGATAGAATCAGATCACCCCAGAAGTCAGTCCCACATCCAGGGCCGTATCAAGGCGTTTGGGGACCAATGCAAATAGGCTTGGAGCCCCCACCACCTCACTCGCCGCTCAGTTAATCTGACGCCGGGGACACACTGGCCGCGGAAGCGCCGCAAAAATGGGACCGCCTTCATTCGGCTCCCTTGTTAAGCTATTCTATAGACCACATGGGCCGCTGAAGCGCCGCGAATCGCCTCGCACCGGCGCTCCAGCCCGCGCCGTGCAGCGATCATTTCGGCGTTGGCTCTAATTTTTTTCGCGAGCCGCGGGTGAATCGCGTCAATAATAAGAGGCAGGCCGGTAAAGTTAACAAAATAAAGCATTTCAAAATAAAATTCCGCAATAGTCAAATGTGTTCGTAAACAGACACTGCAGAAAAACCACACAAACACGCACACACATACACACACATTGAACTTGTGTGCGTGCGTGACCACGTGAAGGGGTGTGTGGTTTTGGGTGTCTTTTCACCGGAGCAAACAGGACAGAGAGGCAGAAAGTCTGAGGCAAGCAGTTAAGATGGATGACTTTAAATGAATTATGGAAGTTGAGAAACACAAGGAGCTGTACGACCCCCGAAAAACATGCTTATTTACGTACCCATTTCGGAAGAAACTGCTAGGATACAGCTGCAGAATTGGAGCAACAACTCATACCATAGGTACATACACACACACACACACACGCACGCACGCACGCACACACACGTAGAGGAAAAGAGCTGAGAAAAGGCAGAGAGAAAATGGAGGACACCAAGTGTTTAAAAGAAAAACTACAGCTGAGCCGAGGCGCGCCTCGACTGGAGCGCGTCTGATCTGAGCGGCGAGCAGTGGCCGAATTTCGTGAGCGATTCGCTTCTCGGCGCTTCCGCGGCCGGTGTGTCCCCGGCGTAAGATGGCAGCGTGCTGAGAGTACAGTTTGTTGTTGCATTTATTACATAAACAATCCTTCTAAAGATCTGTTTTTAACAGCAATCCTAGCTCAGACACCACATCACCTTCCACCGGATGTGTCATGAGTTCACCAGGCATCAGATTACCAAACTCATACTGAAGTTGTTTTGTTGAAAGTAACTTAGAGTAATGCAAAAGTAGTGTAATGCCTTACATTTTAAAATCAGTAATATTGTAATGTAATCAATTACTTTAAAATGAGGGTAACAAGTAATAAATAATGCATTACAGTTTTGAAGTAACTTGCCCAACACTGCTTATTTGTTTTGCAAAAGCACTTCCTTTCATTTCTCCACCTTACCCACAGGTACCTCAATTTCTGCTTCTGTGAAATGGTGCTTCCTTGATCTGTCTTGATCTATGGTCGCCATGTCATTGACGGAGCGCTGCAACGAGCCGGCTTATGTATATGCATGAGGTCCACAAGGCACTTTGCATTGACTATTTATGGCAGAAAGTGGGCGTGGTGAGGGCGGGATTATAATAAAAAAACAGCTGACCACATTTCTAGATACTTTCTGATTTATAAAGCGGAGATTGCGTGAAGAAGAAAATATCATTTCTATAGTGCCTCTCAAGATAAAAATCATGAGGTGCTTCTCAAAAACAAAAAATGTAAAAATAACAAAAGATTTAGAAAATGGTTTAAAATATATTTAAAATGAGCAAAAAAATAGACAATTGTGATTAAAAAATGTTCATGCGAGAGAGTGAATAGGAAAGAGGGAAATCAGTGGATCCTGAGGAAGGTGGAATAGGTGGGGAGAGCAGAACAAGGAGAGGGTGATGAAGGTCCCACCAAAGCCTGAACAGGTGAGTCTTCAGCTGCTTTTTAAAGGAGACCACTGAGTCCACTGATCTCAGGCTCAGGGGGAGAGAGTTCCAGAGTCTGGGGGCCACAGCAGCAAACGATCTGTCACCTTTGACCTTTAGCCTGGTGCTGCACAACCAGTAGGCTTTGATCACTGGACCTCAGGGACCTGCTGGGGGTGTAGGGACTAAGAAGATCACCAATGTAAGATGGTGCTTGTCCATGTAAGGCCCTATAGACCAGAACCAGGATCTTGAAATGAACCCTGAAGTTGACTGGCAGCCAGAGAAGCTGGAGGAGAAGCGGGGTGATGTGGGTGTGTTTGGAGGACTTGGTCGGAAGCTGAGCACAGGCGTTCTGAACCACCTGTAGACGGTTCAGGGAGGTTCTGCTCAGACACGTGAAAAGAGAGTTACAATAGTCTAAGCGTGAGGAGATGAAGGTGTGGATAACTGTCTCAAGTTCAGAGCGAGACAGAATGGGACTCAGCTTAGCAACGTTCCTGAGATGGAAGAAGGAAGAGCCAACAAGAGAATTGACATGAGAATCCAGGGTGAGAGCTGGGTCAAAGGTCACACCAAGATTCCTGACAGAAGGTTTGGTGTGAGAAGCAAGCTGACCAAGAGAGTCTCTGACTTTGGGAACCAGCTTGTCTGGGGCACAGATGAGGATCTCAGTCTTATCTTCATTCAGCTGAAGAAAGCTCCCAGCCATCCAGGTTTTGATAGTCTAAGCAGGTGTGTAACAGCTGCAGCTTAGACATCTCATGGGGCTTAAAGGAGATGTACAGTTGGATGTCATCTGCATAAAGATGGTAGGAGATTCCTTTGAAGGAGCTCAGGATGTGCTGAAGAGGAAGCAGATAGAGGAGGAAGAGCAGAGGCCCCAGCACAGAACCTTGTGGGACACCATGGGTAAGAGAGGTGGTGGAGGACCTAAACTTGGAGACGGCCACAGAAAAGGAGCGCTCAGAGAGATAAGAGGAGAACCACTCCAGAGCAGATCCTGATAGGCCTACCCAGTCTCTCAGCCTCTCCAGTAGCAGGTGATGGTCAACAGTGTCAAAGGCTGCAGTCAGGTCCAGCAGGACCAGAACAGAACAGTCCCCTGCATCACTGTGAGTCAGAAGGTCATTAGAGACCCTAAGAAGAGCTGTTTCAGTAGAATGAGCTCTACGAAAACCTGACTGGAAGCAATCACATATGTTATGTTCATCAAGAGCAGCTGTGAGTTGTTTAGCCACAACCTTTTCCAAGATCTTGGAGATGAACGGAAATTTAGAGATGGGTCTAAGAGAACACACCTGTGCTCTTGCTGTTACTCGCATGTTTATTTTACACTGCAGTGTGAAAAGGAGACAAATGTCGTCTTTCCCAGCTCAAAATCTGATGTTTTCTGGTGTTTTATAATTATGAAGATGATACATTTCCATAGTTAAGCTGCAGACCCAATATTAATGTGACACCAGAAGGTTCGTAGAGTCAGCCTACAGCCTCTGGTTTGTTGATGATGTGCTCTGGTGTTTCAGGAATGTGGTGCGTCCTACACGGATGTCCAAGATGGCCACTGATTCTATCTGCCACTACGTCTCTCTCCTTTAATGTCTCCGTCCGGGTACCTGGTTTTCCTCCGAAGGGGGTTTTAGATGCAGGATTGTTGATTAGGCATCCATTAGGACGATATTTGTGTTGGACTTTGTCAGAAGTTGTGGTTAGAGATTAGAGTCCCTGATCACCACATAGGGACGGCTACAATCTAAATAGTTAACTTCTGTAGGGATTGTTTAGGGATTTGTTTTTAGAAGTGATAAAAGGCAAGGTCTTTTCTTTACATAATGAAGTGTCTGGATTTTCATCTGATCTGAGCACCAAATGAAAAGTCATTCTCAGGAGCTCAGTCCGATACCACAAAGCAAACGGTGGGTTTCTAGAATTGTCTTGTTCAAGGACACAACAACAGCGTCTGACTGAGCAAGGTTGGAACTCGCGACCCCCTGTTATGGGATCATAAAGGTCTGGTTGATCTGCACACATCTGTAGTAACTATACCTGGTACCTGCTGCGGTCTGCTTGCAGGATTATCTTCCAACACAGCAGGACATCCTTCTGGCCAGGAAACCCACCAAGGGCATCCACGAGTACAACTTTAAGATTAAGAAAGTTCCCTTCAAGATGGTGGATGTCGGTGGCCAACGCTCTGAGAGGCGACACTGGTTCGAATGCTTTGATTCAATCACTTCAATCCTGTTTCTCGTCTCTTCCTCTGAATACGACCAGGTGAGTTGACCTGAAGCTGCCTCGCCTGACCTTTTAGAGCATCCCAAGGAACTGCTGCAACACTAAAGATCTGTAACTGATTATAAAAAATAAATCAAAACTCCTCATTTAATGTTTATTTTTCAAATCTCAGCAAGTGTGGCTCTTATGATAGCCATCAGAAATGTAGCAACGAGTTGCTATGGAGACTGGAATGTTCAAGAAGGAAACAGCAACCGGTTTTAGAGTTAAATCAGCCTGGTACTAGTTCAGGCTTAGGGCTGGACAATAAATCAATAACAATAAATGTCGATCGATTAGGGCTGCAACAACGAATCGGTGAAATTCGATGAAGAAATGCATTGGCAACGCTTTTCGTCATCGATTCGTTGTGTTGTGCAACTTTTTTTTCCATGTTGTGCAATCTTCATAACAGTTAATGTGCGCAGAGCAGACCGAGGCTGACCAGAACAGAGACGCGTATGTGTCACGTGTAGGTATTGTGTAAAGAAGATGCCTTTAATCTAGGCGCTATGGAGGAAAACGGAAACCAGCAAAGACACGGAGGCAGAAACGGTCCAAAGTTTGGTATCAAAAGTGTAACTACAAGCAGATTAGCTAATGCTAGCAGGTAGCAGGCTCATGAATGACGGGTTCTGAAAAAACACGATGGTTGTGAAACTACAAGTCAAAGAAAAGTTCCCATCATCATCATCCTGTTCATTAGCTGTCTGCAGCGCTACGGAGCAGAACCGGCGCTGCTGCAGTCGGGCTGCTGCTTCGAGTCTGCTCTGCCCAACACCACTAAAGGAATATGGCAAGCCACTGTAGCATTTAATTCATAAACTCATCCATCTGTGAACATAATATAAACTAGATTATTGCTAACCCGTACATAATAAAAATGCCTTTGTTAGCAGATGTTTGTTTGGCTGAAGAACGAGCGATTGGTGCACAGAGGGTGTTCTGTACGGCAGGGTGAGGGACGCTCGAAGGGGTTTTGATCCAGTCCATTAGGAGGACTGGCGCTGGACTAAATGAGGTTATTTTGCAGCTTTGTACAGTTCATGTACAAATGTTTATTAACAAAACGTTACATTTTCTGGAGCTCATTGGTGTGTGACGAGCTTTGTAAGCAGTATAACAAAAGATTAACCAGAAAGTCTCAGGTCACTTTTAAAGGAGTCTTCAGTAGTGAATGACTCCATGTAAAGTGATGCTTTGGAGGTTTTTCTATCCCTCTTTGTCCAAAGAAGATGTACGTTGATGACATCATCAGCTTGTATAGTCCATATGTCTACCATTGGCTAAATTAATAAAGACCAGCTGTCATGGTACCCTATGGTCCAGTCCAGCGGGTGGCCCTTTTACTTTGGATATTTGAAACACGGGAGCCAGAAACACCTGCGGGAAGGGAAGCGATGGGCGGGGGCTCAACCCAAAGTTGGAAACTCCAGAGGAGGAAGAGATGAAAGCTCAGGCTGAGCTGAAAAGCAGAAGCTGTGAGATTGTGGGTTCCTGCCTGTGACATCCTCTTTAGTGTTCCTGTTTCCAGGCAGATGTTCCACAGACGGTTACGGTTGTTTAAAACCAGCTGAACAAGAGCAGCTGCTGATGTCACAACCACTGACCTGTTCTGTCTGACCCCGCCAGGTGCTGATGGAGGACCGGCAGACCAACAGGCTAAGGGAGTCCCTCAACATCTTTGAGACCATTGCCAACAATCGGGCGTTCAAAACGGTCTCCATCATTCTGTTCCTTAACAAGACAGACCTGCTGCAGGAGAAGGTGCAGCAGGTTTCCATCAAGGACTACTTCCCAGAGTTTATGGGTGACCCCAGCAGCCTGAGGGACGTCCAAGACTTCCTTGTGGATTGTTTCCGCAAAAAGCGCCGCGACCAAGAGCCGAAGCCACTGTACCACCACGACCATCAGCAGAAGCCACTGTACCACCACTTCACCACGGCTATCAACACGGAGAACATCCGCCTGGTGTTCCGGGACGTCAAGGACACCATCCTGCACGACAACCTGAAGCAGTTGATGCTGGAGTGAAGGACTAGGCCGGACCGGACTGGGAGGAGGGATTTGTTAAGCAGACAGAACGGGCATCACAGTGCCTTCAGCCCTCAGACACCAGCCCGCAGTGCCCCTCCTTCCTCCCCTCCGAAGACCTTTAGCTCACCTTAGACCAGAGACTGAGACCCCCACCCCTGTGACCCCTCCTCACTGTGACGCTAAGAGCTGCAGACTTCTTCTAGACCCCATCCTGTTGTTACTCTGACTCCCTCATAGACATTCAGCCTTAGACCTGCTCTGGGCCGGGGGGGCAAAACTGACTAAATCATCTAAGTGTCCTGTAAGTCTGAAAATGCTAATTTCATGTGTTGCCTTCCTGTGTAGAACATGGCTCTGTTGTGGAGGGCTCTTGACCCACCTCGTCTTCTAACTGTAGTTCTGACGGATCGTAGCGATGCTTCAGAAGCTGAAGACGTGGCTGCTGGTGGACTCTGTTACAGGTATAAAGGTGGTTCTGGTTCAACCCACTGGATTAGAACCAGAGTGCTGCCTGCTCTCAGGGCTCTGTATTAACCACTCCTCTCATCTGAAGCCAAGCACAACTTCAGACCAGACCTGATGCGTTCAAGGCGTCATTTGGTCAGAAGGGCTTCAGAAGGACCCGCCAGGATCTGGCTCCTGTGTGGAGACCCAACAGTGCTGCCTGTGTGGTGAAGTCTCCCCACAGAGCTTCACCACTGACCGTTTTATTCGGCCCTGTTTTTAACAGCATCTTCTGGGGTTACATACCTTCACTTTCATGTATGAGTAGAAATCAAGAACAGCAACTTTCTCTGGTAAGATGTTGAGACTAAACCATTAAAGAATGATGGTTTCATGTTAATAAACTGTCCAGGATTTAGGGTCCACACCTCTGAATCAGAAACATTCCTGAGAAGAACGTCAGGGAGGCTGAAGAACACATGACCTGCCTGTGTGGTCTTCTGATGATGCAGAGTCTGATCATGTCTCTGCTCGCCTTTAATTACAGTTCTTGTTCAGAAGTACACGTGAGAAAGCTGCTGAGGTCAGCCTGAGACTGGGTCTATCGTTAGAATCAGTGCTGGCGTTTGAATCTCCTGTTTGTGGGTAATCCTCAGTTCTAGAACGTGAAATCTGGAACCCGTTCCTCAGAGGTCCATTCTTGTAACCGTAGATGTCCAGGCTTCAGAAGATTCATTCCCAGACTATCCAGAGTGTTGTTCTGTAGAGGTGAGGTGTTTCTGTTGTCATGGATGGTTTTAATTTTCTGAAGAGTCCCAGTCCCTCTCCTCATCCCTGAAGCTTCCCAGGGACCTCAGATTGCTTCCACTGGTCCATTTCCACAAGTCCGCGCAGCTCTGGCCCCACTCTGGGATCAGAAGTTCCAAGAAGTCTTAGATGTTCTGATCACAGCTGTGGTTGTCGGCAGCAAATCAGATGAACATGGCTTGTTTATCTCCAAACATTATCAGTCAACTGTCCAGGTGTTACACACACAAGTGTCACACACGCGGCTGTTACACACGAGTATTATATACGAGTGTTACACACGAGTATTATATAAGTGTGAAATGTGTTACACACGAGTATTATATAAGTGTGTTACACACGAGTATTATATAAGTGTGTTACACACGAGTATTATATAAGTGTGTTACACACGAGTATTATATAAGTGTGTTACACACGAGTATTATATAAGTGTGTTACACACGAGTATTATATAAGTGTGTTACACACGAGTATTATATAAGTGTGTTACACACGAGTATCATATACGAGTGTTACACACGAGTATCATATAAGTGTGTTACACACGAGTATCATATAAGTGTGTTACACACGAGTATCATATAAGTGTGTTACACACGAGTATTATATAAGTGTGTTACACACGAGTATTATATAAGTGTGTTACACACGAGTATTATATACGAGTGTTACACACGAGTATTACAGGGTTTCCTCCAGCGCCTTGTAAGCCTGGTGGCCCGCCAGGCTAAGCGTCATGCCCCGCCCCCCTCCCCAACCCTACCTTGCCCGCTGACACATGGCGCAATGAAACTAGAGCCCTCCCATCAGCTGATACTGGAGAGAAACCGCAGTGGAACGTGTACAACCAACCCAACCCCCGCTCTCACAGAGGAGCGCTGCGGGACAGAGCGCGCGACACCCCCCGAAGCCGCCAGGCTTTAATCATTTTCTGGGGGAAACCCTGAGTATTATATATGAGTGTTACACACGAGTATTAAGTAAGTGAACTGATGGTGGAAGCCTGTTGGATGACCCCTCCCCCCCCACTTTTAAAAGGACTTATTTATTACCCATTGACATAGAAACTGTAAATGTAGAGGGATGAGCTACAGAACTGTGCGTGTGTGTGTGTGTGTGGGGGGGGGGGGGGGGGGGGCAGTTGTGGACCAACCTGTTGAACGAGTCTCTAGGGGACAAACCTGTCCCCAGGTCTAACCCCGATGACGGGCTGTCAGAACCAGACTGACTGAAGCAAATCCATCCAACACTCTGACCCGTTTACACATCTGGGTTTTTGGTCTACAGTAAAACACATTTAGATTTTTTCACACTCATCTTGAGACAAGGCTGCAGTAGAAGATTAATTTATTTGTAATTTGGCCTTGTTGCCTTTAAAGAACCAAGATCAGCTGTCCTTTTGCTGACCACCTGAGACTTCTCTCTCTTGTGGACAGTTCATGAGGAAGAGCAGATCATCCCCAGAACAAGTGAGTTCACGCTAAAGCCATCTGAATGAAAGCCTTACAGCCGGGTTCTGCTCCAGGCATCCTTCTGCAGCTGCCTTCTACCCACTTTCAGTTCCTGGACTGGCTCATGCCACTACCCTTGGTGGGGGGATCATCGCCATGTGCATGTATGAATCATAGGTGGTTTTTTTCTGTTGAATGGTTTTGTTCGTCCAGTGTTTCATCATGTTAGAACATAACCTCACTCACGGAGAGCTTCCTACTGTCTAAGATCACAAATTAATCAGCCAAATATACTGAAGTCTAGTGCCTCCTGTTTTTCTGTACGTTTGTGTAAAAAGTTGTCACATTTGTGTTTATGCCATTTGAAAATCTGATGTTTTTCTCATGCTCACAAAGTACTTCACTTCTCACTTTGGTATTTTCAGATTAAACCTCCACTCAATAAATCAGCTGATTCATAACAAGTGATCTCATCATTAAAAAAGTCACGATCACCCCCTCCATCAAAGCAGCGGAGGTGCTGCTCCTGAGCAGTTTCTGTTAAAATCCATCAGCAATGACCTGAGGTGCAGCGGCGTGTGGGGTTTCATAGAAAATCCAGGACCGAGAAGATTCTGATCCATCTGCATGTGATGTCGACGCAGCTGCTAGTGGCTCATCAGTATTACCATGGTTACCAACTCGGACTGACAAATGTTGTGAGTCAAAAAGCTGCTGGGTGAAAACAAGAAGTTTAGAAATGGAGCAGAAGCTCTGATGGTCCCACAGGGGAACGCTGGAGTTTCTACTTGGTATGATGAAGAGCTATGAGGTAAAAACATCACCACTTCCTGTCTGGAGCTGTGATGTAGAGGAAGCCCATGACTGAGAGGATACCATGGAAGATGACTCACTGAGATGTTTCCAAGGGCCTGTTGGGGGAAAAAATTCACCCGGATGAAGCCGTGGATTCACACACACACACACACATTCAGTTTGGACATTTTATTCAGTAAGAAAAGACATGAGAATGAAGAACAGCAAGGAACCTGCCTGGAATTTTATTAAAATAAGAAAAAGGATAAAAAAGAACATTAAATAAAAATGGTAAACTATTAAAACTGTGTGTGGGAGGTGTACAAAGACACGACCTGAGGCAGCAAGAACTGGAGTCTCAAATCAGTTAATCATAATTTTACACACTTAAAGGTGCATTATGTAGAAATGAAGTAAAAAGGCCATCCTGTAGTCAGATGTGGCGCAACCACTTCCAACAACTCTGGAGCTTTTCGCCGGCCATCGTCACATTACACTAGTGGGCGCTGCAGCATCAGCTCGCAGGACACGACACCCCCACGCTCACTGATGCTCAACAGTAGCAACATCCCTCCTTCCTTTGTTTTGAAAGGAGAAAAGCTGACAATCCAGCAAGCAGCTGGACATGAAACATGTTTCAGTGTGACCTTCCTTCTCTTTTGGGATTTTCTCAGTAAAATTCCTCCTATATTCTTACATACTGCACCTTTAACGTGTGTGTTGTGATAACAGAGCACCAACAGGTGACATAAGGACAGTCTGGTTCTGGAGTCTAACCGACTTCACGAGTCCTACAGTCCAGCAGAACTGGATCTGATGCGGGACCCGCTCTGCTCAACAACCTGCTGACTCACCAACATCGAGTCTTCTGGATGTAAACAAACGCTGGTCCCAGGAAGCCATCCTAGAGGTAATACATTTTACTTCGGCAAGACGGTGTAGGCTTATTCTAAACTTCAGTCAGCAGGAGCTTTTATTTTGAAAACTCAATTATCTAACGTGTGTAATGATGACATTTTGCACTTTATTTTGTGCTCTTAGCAGTGCCAGATCTTTGGACTCAAACAAGTCTTTGGAGTTGGGACTTTCTATTACAGATCAACACCTGAGGACATCCCAACCTCTATCAGGTCTCTGGTTCTTCTTGGTTCTGGTCCTTTTCTACAGTGAGGTAAAATGCTTAAATAACTGTGGTTTCGTTCAGACCTGCAGCCCATCTGACTAGATCATCTTCAGCTAAGTCAACCTCCAAGAAGTCCACCTGCTGGCTGTCCTGGGACATTTTCTCCTGCTCATCTGTGCCCAGGTCCTTGTTTCTTGCGTGCCTTCGGCACATTGTGGGATTTGCCATGCCAACCAGAGCCAAGCAGATGGCGCTGAGACCCATCCCTGCTGCACACGAGTAAAAGGCAGCTCCGTAGTTCTGTGTGACGTCCACCAGCACACCTGGAACAGAATCAAGAGTTACAACCTAGGAACAACAGAGGCAGCAGCACAACCCAGGTCAGTTCTGTACCTCCTAGTGGTGGTCCAGCCAGTCCAGCAAAGCTCTGAATGAAGACATAGACACCCACACATGAAGGCATCTTCTGGATGCCCACCACCTCCTCCTCAGCCAGCAGAGGGATGTGTGTGGAGCCCACAGTACCCATGAAGAACCCATAGAGGGCACAGCAGACCACCAGGCCCCAGAACTCCCACACGACTGTAAAGGCCACCAGAACCAGACACATGAGAATCACACAGCCCAGGAGCACCAGGGTTTTCCTACAGCGAACCCTGTTCAACACAATCCCGATGGCTAGGCGGCCACAGACATCAGCGATGGCCATCACAGACAGCATGCAGGAGGCCATGCTGGGCTCCACGCCCCGACTCTTACTCAGCTCAATGATGTAGAGCTGTGGAGCGAAGAACCCCAGCGAGGCAAAAAGGCCGAAGAGTGAATACCAGATGAAGGCCCAGTCTTTCAGCACTGAGAAGTCCAGGAGTCTGGGGCTAGAGGGCTGGAGAGGACCGGCCCCTCCCTTTGACACCTCCCTGACTGGATTAGGAAGCGTGGACTCTGACTTATCTAGATCTCCTTCAGCCTGCACCACAAACTCCATCAGGGACTTGGCCTGTGGTTCTGAGTTCCTAAGGTTTTCATCTGATGCTGACAGGGAAGTGACACCCGAGTCTCCAGAGCCCCTGGAGATCACGGAAGTGATGGAGTTTCTGGTTTCTTCGTTTTCTAGTTCATAAACGCTCTGCAGCTGCTTCAGAGAAACACAGTCTGATTGGTCATCCTCCTTTACGGGTGGCTTGATGATGATTGGACGAAGAAGTAGTCCACAGCCAATCACAGATGCCTGAAACACCCCGATAATGACTAGACATGAGCGCCAGCCAAGGTCGTCCTTTAGTCTGGTGAAAGCTGCAAACACATGAGTGGTTATCGGTCTGAGCTAAACCACAAACAAAGTTCTCTGCCCTTGGTGGCAGTCAACTCACCAGGGGCAAACGCAAACATGGCAAAGGATTCTCCAGAGGAGGCGATGGAGGTGACGAGGGCTCTCCGCCTGGAAAAGTACTGGGCCAAGATGGTGACGGTGGGGATGAAGGAGAGGCAGAATCCGAGTCCTGTAAACACAGAAGAGAGAGGGGACGTGACAGCCACTGGCTCGGGCTAGGGGTGGGTCACAGGTCAAGCTGCTGGGCAGGATGCTGGAGGGGATTCGGGTTTATCACAGCTGCTGCTGAAAGACAAAATGTATGTAAAGACAGAGACGGGAGAAACAGGTCAGCTGTGGTCAGCTTCACTCGTTCATGGTGAGAGAGCTTCTGTTCAGAGGAAAGGTTCAGCAAGTTAGGGTGTGCTAGTGCACACGATCAGTGGTGGATGAAAGCACAGGTGAGCTGTGAGGTTCTGCTACCTGAGACCATGCCGAGGGTGATGTACATCTCGTTGAGGGAGCTGGTGAAGGCTGAGGTGACCATCCCCAGGCTGATGAGGAAGCCTCCCATCATTACTACAGGACGGTAGCCGAAGCGGTTGCTCAGCATCGATGCCAAAGGGGCTGAGAGGGGTGAGAGTAAACAAACACCTGTGTTTAAGATCTAACCTCAGTACGTTGTGATGGATGTGATGAACTGAACCCATGGCAACCAATTATTATTAAATAAGCAGGTAAAACACCCGGGACTAACCAGTGAAGGCAAAGATGAACACAGAGATGGAGATGACCCAAGAAACCCGGCTGTTGCTCTCCTTGAACTCCTCCATCAGGTCCTGGAGGAAGACACCGAGGCTCTTGAGGACTCCATATGTGTTAACTTCTACCAGGAAGAAGGCCACAGCCACGGCCCAGCCCCAGCCACCCTCGGGCACCTCAGGGTAAACATTTGGACTCAAACAGCACAGGTCTCTGGGCATCTTCATGGCTACAACAGGTGAGCCACCTGTAGAGAGAAAACCCCATGAAAACAGCATCGTGCTGACCTGACCAGTTGGGCAGGGGGTAAACGATTATTTTTAAAACGATTATTCTGACGATTATTTTATCGAATAGTCGACTATTCTAATGAGTATTTAGACGATTAATCTAATGATTATTTTTCCATTGCACAATTAATAAAAACCAAAAAATCTCAAATAAATTCCTCAAAAAATTGATAAATTGTTACTGTAAGAGAATAAACACTACAGGCCTTCCATTTTGTATAACAATGCTTTTATTGCGCTGGTTGGTTATGTTCTGGTGACGTGTAGATCTTGGGAGTGCAGGCTGCTGCCTGAGAGGTGGTGGGAGATGGAGTGTCTCCATGTTGCTTTGTTTTGGTCACTTATGAGCGTGAGGCGAGTGGTGTTACGACCCTTCCTGGGGAGTTTGGCTCGTGTGTAAAAAGGAAGGGACAATAACGGGATTTAAAAGTTAAAATGATGATCAGATTCATTTACAACTACAATAAATAATAAATCTTTCCATCCACAGGTTGGGAATAATAAAACTAATTCTGCCTGTGGGGAATTAAAACAAAAGTACAAATAACTAGGGATGTCCCACTGGGCAAAGATTACTGGGTTCTGGACCAAACCAAGGATCTCCAAAGGTCCAAACTCTAAACTGGGCGGTTAAACCAAACTCAAGGTGATATTTTAAACTAAACCAAAAACCCACAACACTCTAAATGTAATAAAAGGGAGATCTGCACCACAAAAAAGATTAACTCTAAACCAAAACATAACTGCTTATCCAAACGCAAGAAGCTGTTAGCAAAAATGCTAACAGTAGCTTTACCAAGTTAAGTTCAAGTTACCAAGTTTAAATAAACCAAAAACACCCAGCAGCAAACAGAGCAGCATGGAGGAGAGACTGCTACCACCAAAACTGCTCTCCTCATGTCTGAAAGAAGCTCCTTTATGAAGGGAGAAACGCTCCCGGTGATTTTCTACATCTGCGATAGAGACGGAGCAGCACATCTGACCCCGGAAGTTGTTGTCCGTTGCCGAGAGAGGAAGGCAGGCAAAACAGGAAAGGAATCTAGTAGCGGACGGACATTGTTCCGGGTCTTCGGTATTTGGTGGAGATGTTAGTGAAGGCGGAGAAGAGGGCGAACTAGAGGAAACAGGCAGATTCCTCCTCTATTTACAAACTCCTGGGGATGCAACAAGTGGGCGTGGTGCGTCGACTACCGGATCTGACGTCGGCAAATTTTTAGAATCGAGCCGTCGAGGCTTCGCTACAGCTCTACTGACCAGCCAGCTCAGACTTACATGATAAACAACCTGCACTTTTATAGCACCTCTCTGAGCCAGAGGACTCCAAGGTGCTTTACACTACTATCATTCACACACTGGTGGTGATGAGCTACATCGTAGCCACAGCTACACTGACATTCCCTATGACCACCACCAGCAGGCAAAGAGAGTAAACGACTGACATGGATGGATCCTGGTTTAGAGCTTCCACAAACGACTATTTTAATACTCGACTAATCGTGTCGTTCATAAAAGTTTAGCTTATTGCACCAGGATGCTCTAATGCACCATCATTAGCTTCTAGTCTGATCAGCCATGTGCCTTCTGATAATAAAGACAAGATGATGGCTTATCAAACAACTTTAACCTGTTAATACAAATGCTGCAGTCAAATGGAGGTAGGCTCCTGAAACCAAGCATGACTTGTGTTCATAAATGTGTCCAGCTAAAATAGCCATGTTTGGCCAGGGGTGGAAATGACATTTTTGTCTCTGGTAGAGGAAAATTTGTAGCAGCCACATTGTTTGTGAAACATCCCATCTCTGCTCTGAGAGTTTCTCTCAACTTCCGCTTTGTGCTTCATTAACACTGGCTGCTTCCTGTTCACATCAGTTTATTCCCTTCTTCTCATCTAATCCACAATGGAGAAAAACAACAGATTACATGTCATCTGATTTTCACATGAACTGTCAGAACTTTAATTGCAACAGCAAAATTACTGAGCACTGTGTGGCTTAAGACTGTTAGCAAACAGGTTATGTTAATTAATATTATCTGACTAAATATTATAAGTATGGGTGGACTCAATTAAAAATTTGAATTAATTAGAGGCTTCGTAATTAATTAATTACATTTTAATCGTTCAGGAAAATGTGCCCTCAAAGCAATTGTTTTTTATTAGAATTATGAGACAGATAATCAAACATAAGACATGGTTAGTATTACTGTAAACTAAAGTTTTTAATTTCTAACAAAAAATGCATTTATTGCTCAAGTTTTTCTCCCCAGAAGAAGCTAGAATGATGTTCTGCTGAGCTGTGGTGGCCTCATGGAGGGGGCCATCGTCTAGCACACTGCTGCTAACCACTAAAACATTCTCCCTCTCCTGATAATAACTTTTTACTCTCTTTGACATTGAATGTGCCACTACTAGTTTACCCGTTTAATTATAGATTCACTAGGATAAATACAATAAAGTTTATCTCTCACCAAATAGAATGTTTACTAAGAAATCACAATGTAACCATAGACACATTGCTTGGTGTGTGTGTGCTCTGTCTTCTCCATCCCCAGTGAGTCGTGGTGGATGGCTGCTTATACTGAGCAAGGATCCTCTGGAGGTTTCTTCCTGTTAAAAGGGAGTTTTTCTCTCCACAGTCGCTGCATGCTTGCTTAGTATGAGGATTGCTGTAAAGACTCTGACACGAGTCAGTGACTCGATGCGACCTGCTGGGTTCCTTATATAGGAAACTTTTTACTGATTGGCTTAATAACTTGACCTGTGTTGGAATGTTTACCGTGTGAAGATCCCTGAGACGACTCGTCATGATTTGGCGCTTTATAAATAAACTTGAATTGAATTTTAAATTCTACTGCCCTTTTAACAGGATCATTACAATCCTCAAACTTTTGCTCCACTGCCAACTTGTGGAGGACTTAAATACTACAGGAGATAATGCCAGTCAGGTAAAGTCTGATTTTTACTTCTCCGTCTGCATCAGTGTGGAGACACGCCATGCCATTATGTGTCAGCGCAAGAGCTCTCCGCCGGACTCACAGTGGGTGATGGAGACCGTAAGCTTGTGATTGGTCAGGATGACGCTTCCTGTAAATTCGTCACCAGCACCGCCATTGCCTTGTCAAAAAGTAAAAAGATATTTAGCAGAAGACCCAGAACAGACTGAAGGACACGTCACGGAAAAAGTCTGAAAACACGAGCGTTTAATCACCCGTGACTGAGGGAGTACAATGATATGCAGTAAGCGTTTTACTCATGGACAGAAAAGATGAGAAACGTGAGTTTAGGGGTAGCGACTGCATGAAGAGGTGGAGGAGATGAAGGTCAAATTTGTTCCGTTATAAAGTCTGTGAAGTATATAAACACATTAGTAAATACACTATAGTGGACTGGATACCACAGAAAAGCGCTACGCCCTCTGTTGTCCTGGCGGGTAATTGTTTTGCAACAATCCGCTGCCTGCTCTGAAGCTCGCATGTAAAAACCTTTCTGATGGAGCTCATGGAGAAGTATAAATCGGGCTTTATAACCTTGTGTATCTGCCTGTCAAATAGTTTCCAATAATTCTATATTTTATTTACACAAGTCTTTAACTGAATCTCTTTCTTCTGAATGTTATTTCGTGTATCAGGTTAAAGGCCCCTGACTGAAGTCCTGTTGTTCTTGGCCAGGGGGTCTGGATCAGTCTGCAGCCTCCTCCTCTCAGGTGTTTGCAGGAGTGATGGATGATAGAATAATTCATGATGATGGAGGCCCTTTGAGTTCAGTCAAAAGTAAATTCAAAGGGGAAAATGATCTACACGAATAATTTAAATTCAAGTGTATGAATGGAGCCAGACAGCCTGAACTAACATGTTTCAGCTGTTAGGCTTTGTTAGGTCATCATAAAGCCGAACAGCTGACTGGAGCCTAGCAAAACACAAACGTTTAATGTTATTTAAAATTCGTACATCAGGATCAGTGTTTGACTAATGAGGTGATCAGCTAATTACTGCTTTTCTCTGGTTATTACATGTAGAACGGTACCCTTATTTAACCCGAGACAAAAGAGCCGGTTTTACGCACTGCGGTGGGAGACGACTTGAAGCGACCAGCTCACCTCCGGTCTCCGTTACCGGAGTAGAAACCTGTCGCTTAGGGAAGGCGAGTAACGAACCTGCCGCGAAACACCATGTTTCCCAAAACCTTTCTTCATCAGACCGGAGAGACCAATGCTGACCGGAAACATACTGTCTTTAGCGAGTTATGACGTTCACTTACCGGAGGAGTGGGGACGGTAGCAAGCTTCTGCTTTTATCTGAGAGTCATTGTCTCTCAAACTTCCTGTAAACCACGTTAAACCCGAGCTGTCGGTCGGATAACCGTCTTGTCTGCCTGTTTTGGCAGCTCTCTACCGGCTCAAGCCGGTATCCACACGCGTGCACGCGACCATGCGGAGCGCAACGGCTGACGTCAGTCTCGCGCATGCGTGCTGGTGTAATGTTACGACAGAATGGGTGTGGACGCTGTGATGAACTGGGTCACACGGGTTAGGACTCCGGTTGGTTGTTTAGTCTCACCAGTTCTCCGTGGCTTTTATTTATGGGTGTTTAACGAGTACACGTGTCATGCGAACGCAACTTCACCGTGTGTCGCGCGCGACTAAACTCGTGCAGGTGTCTTGTTGAAATTAGTTTCCCCGTCAATCACTTCCGCCACTTGACAAATTCGGTCAAATTTCAAGCCTTCGGTTTTGCAAATTTTCCTTGACAATCTGCTGACACTTTAGCTCAGAAGATTCAGCATTTTAGATTAAGTTACATATGAAGTAAAGAGTGAGGAAGACCTAATTTTTTTTAAATAAATGTTTTGTCAAACTTCCCTTCCGAGCAGGATGACATTCAAACATCAGGATGTTCTCTTCCTAATTTAACAAGAAGAAAAAGTCTGAATCTTTTATCAGCGCGAGCTTTAAAACCACATTTATGTAACAGAGGACCCAGCTGGGAGCAGTTTTGAACCCGAGAACACATTTCCGCCAGACACCAGTCACACGCCGGGATGAACAGGTTTATTCCAGCTGAGAGCCGGTTACAGCAGCTTCCTTTAGCAGCGGTAGAGCCGGCTGCAACAGCACAGACCCGATCCAAGTTGCACACACGCACACGCACACACACACACATATATTATATTCTGTTATTAATTAATTTGTTATTAATGTCTTGTTTTGGTTCTCATGATTATTTTTTAAGCGTGTCATATTGTGCTCATTTCATTTTATCTGTACAGTGTCGTTCTACCTCATGTTTATTGGACTAAGTGTCCAGAATAAAGACTTGACCACACACATACTGATTGAAGCCCCTCCCTTTGGTTTAAATTAATTCTTCATTATGTAAAATCTCAGATTTTTGGACATAAGGCTGTAGTCCTATGACAGGTAAATAGTCCGTCTTCACCTTGGTGAAGTTCTGGGATAAGACAGCATGGATAAACCATCTCAAAGTAGAACATCAGCATATTTTGAACTGGTATTTTACATAAGCTGAGCCTGTAAAGGGCAGAGCATATACCTCACAACTGTCTGACCCTTAAACACATTGCATCACGTATCCAGTATAGTAAGACTTACCTGTGTCCAAGTGGGAAGGCTCTTTTTGCTCATGTGAACTCTTTGGACTCTTGGGCCTGATATAACTGCTCCTGTGGTGCAGGGGTGTGTCTAAACCTGGGCTAGACCACCTCCCGCCCAAACTCTGATAGAACACCTAGGGTGGATATTTCTCTGATTGTTTTTTTCTCCTGAGAGAGGAAGTCAGTTAACAGGTGCTTTAAATGACAAACAAGGATAAAATACCTATGCATCTCACAAAAACATTTTTGTAATATCTTTATTTTGAAAGGGGTGAACTCTGGGAACCGATGATGGTTGTACCCTTTGTGTAGCAGTACCGGGACCAGAGTGAATAAGGTGTGTATGGGGAGCATGAGTGGGTGTCTAGCATTCATTTTTGTAAGTCTTAGGTTGTATGTGTATGTGAAGCATGAGGGAGGGAGTGTGTGACTGTGTCTGTGCATGGCTGGATATGTCAGGTGGGGTCTTGGACTCCTCCTCTCTCCTCGGACTTCGTATGCTACTACGCATCTTCGCTTGCCCTCCCCCTGCCACATTTGTTGTGGAGTGCGGTGCCTCGGTCTGCCTGAGTGTTCGCGGGTCAGGGGGTTTAAGATTTTTGGAGTCTTTCTGATTGATCCCGGTCACTGCCCGGTGGGATCTGAGTCTCTGGGCTCTGTTGGGTCCCCGGCGGGGCTGGTCGCTGGGTCCCGGGCTCGGCCAGCTAGGGGGTGGGAGGCTGCGGGCGAGCCTCTATCGGCTGCTGCTTGTGACCCCCCGGGGCAATCCTCTGCCACTCGAGGGGGGAAGGGGCTTTTCTGGTTGCAGTCTCCTTGGAGTCCTTGTGCTCTGGGGCAGCTCCTGGATCTATGGGACTTGGAGCTCCCTCCGTCTCCTACACATCTTTGGGGGCAGATCTGTGGCCCCTCACACTCTCTATTGGACGCTCCTATAGAGAAACCTTACATATACAAGCACGTGTACACACACAGGTGCTCACATGGTGCTCTCATAAGTATGGACTTGAGCACGTTCAACACAGGTCTTAAGGCTGTGGTTGGCACTAAATGCACTGATTTATTATCGTGATTGTTCAGTAAAAAAATGCTGATTTTATATTTGCTCATCAGGTTGATGCAGTGATAGCTTGCTCCTGTTGTATTGTTGTGTGTCCCTTTTTTCTATTCTTTCTCTCTCTGCAGGTCTAGAAGCAGACTCTTGTTCATTGTTGTTTATTTTTGTGGAGCCACCCCCCTTTTCCTTTCTCTTTCACCTCTGTCTCCGTGTCTGGTCGAAATTATAAAGCATCCAAAAAACAATAACAATAAAGTTTTAAGTATCAGGCGTGACATTAAAGCAGAAGCTTTGATGCTCCACCTGAGAGTAAATCTGTAAGGCTTGTCACCAGCATTCAGACATCAATTCTGTTTGCTTCACAGCCAGACAGGACGGGGGGAAGAAAAAAACACTTTTATTTGCAGATGAATGCTCCTACGTTTTTCATTTAGACGCCAAAGTGCTGAATCTTGTCTCCAGGAGGACTAATGTTACAAACCACCTGAGAATGGGGTAAAAATCCAGTCTGATATCATCAGTCTTCACAAACTTTGTTTAATTTTTAAATTTTCATCATGTGTTTTATGTAGTCTAAGAGTAAATACTCCAGCTCTGCAGAGGCATGCTGGGAATAAATAAGCTGTACTTTATTCATACCTGATGTTTTAAAGCTGCAACAGCAAATCTGCTAAACAAGCTAGCTTTTAAACACAAACCCAGTCACTGAACTCTCACTCCTACTATCGGCTTTCATCCCTAAGCCACGCCCCCTGATATGGGAGCACGCATTGCCATAGCAAACGAGATAGTCCAAAACATCCATCTCTGTTTTCTAGGTCCACACGTCTTGTAGCTTCAAATGATGCTTTTCCTTCTGGGACCCTGTTAGTTTGTCCTAAAGCTGAAGTGGTGTCTCTCGTTCTCTGATATTACTGAGTGGAGAACCTCTCGCACATGTGGTGTTCTGCTGCTAAACACGAGTGTGTGTGATGAGTAGAGGACCCAAGGCAGCGGTTCAGCGAGACCGACAACAGGATGGTCCAGAGGTTGCTTTTGCACCAAGCGGTGTGATTGGCCAGGGGCAGATTAAGGACTGAAGAACATCCGGGGCTTAACACACGCACACACACACGCGCGCGCACACACACCCACACACACGTGACACACACTAGTCAACATCATATATGTCTTGTACCACATAATTTTTAATCTGAAGCTACATATTAAGCATTTTCAGGGCAGAGTATTGTTCCTGTTAGTGTTTAGTGTGAGATAATAGTAAATATTCCCTTTCTTTCTCCAACTACTTTACCTGATAGTAAGCTAACTTTAGGCAAACCAGCAGCACAACAAATATTTTCAAATAAGACTCACAAACCTGAGTCAACACCAGTCTCATCAAAGCTGGGGTTCTGTCGCCATACTTTTGGTCTAAAAAACATCCTTATGTCCATCTTCACTCATGCGTTTCAGGCAGAGTGTAAAAGAAGCCGGCTGCTGAAGGGCTTCTTCTTCAGTGGTGGAGGCTCAGGCAGGCTGTATACAAACTACTGCCAGCTGCGCCCTCTCTGTTGGACTTTGGTACTGCATGTTACTTCCGCGATTTAGATCCGGGGCTTTCCATGAAACATCCGGGGCTTCAGCCCAAGTAGCCGGGCTTAACGCCGCCCCTGTGATTGGCGCAGGTTTTTAGACAAGTACAAACAGAACCACTTCATTATTTAGGTCATTTTTTTAATTTCCATAATAATAGTAATATATAGCTGTACTATGTTAGAATGTTGTTGAGAGGCAAGAAAAATGTTTTATGCTAAGTCGTTTAGCAGATTTTTCATTCCATCATCTCTAAGACCCTGTGAGGCGGAGTGGTTCTGGTCCTCTTCAGATGCACCATCCTATCAGTGATGACCCAGGATTACACTGGTTTGCTTTTTAGTCAGTTTAACCAAAGTTCTTGTAACACAAGGTCAAAGACCTTTGAGTCCAGGTGATTCAGTGACTTGTGTAATCTAGCCTGACTGAGTCCATGCGCGTCTGGCTGCTGGAGGTTGGCACAGGAGTGGTATCTCACACTGAGGAGACCTGCTGATTTCAGGATTTAGCCGGTTTTTACGGAGCACTTTCAAAGAGGACAATTCTTGATTCTCACAGGAATGTTTGGTTGGCTTTCGTACAGCATGATGCTTGATATCACAGTCAGCGTGTGACTGAGAGCTCTCTTTAAACCAAAACAAACACTTTGTTCTGTAGCAGAATTCACACACACGCACACGCGCACACACACACGCACACACACACACACACACACACACACACACACACACACACACACACACACACACACACACACACACACACACCCTTCCTTTAGTTCCAATAAGAGTTTCTCTCCAAGAAAGGAAGTCCAGAGACCTTCTTGTGATGTGTGTAACGCCCAGAAAGGGTCAATTTTGACCTATATATTGATCTACAGGTGTGACGCAACATGTGCACCATAAATGAGCTGGACTTTGGAGTTCTCAAGCACAGCTGATGGATAACAGAATTCATAACACAGCACCTTTCTAGGAACAGCCCGACGACAGACAGTCAGCTGTGACTCTCAGCCTTTACCCGGAGGAACGTGATGGTACCACCACACACATAGCAGATTCTCTCCTCCACATACAAGAAGTGGTACATCAAATCAAATCAGGTTTATTGTCATTATGTTCATAACAGAGTACAAACACAACGAAAAAGCGTTTCTTTATTGAGATCCGTCTGAGTCACACGCTCCATACATGCACAACTCTGCTAAATTTAGAAAACAATTTCTCAAATGGTATTAAAAACTATAATAAATAAGATAAAAAAGCTCCCAGTAAATTAAACTCATACACTTGCACCCACCCACCCACACACGCACGCACATGCACACACACAGACAATCACACCCACCCACACACACCCCTCCATACATGTATTCACACAATTCACACTGGACTTAGCAGGATTTTTTAAAGTGCTAGTATCTCCTGCTCACAGTCCAGTTGTATTCAGCCCCTGGACAGCCTTAGGCAGAAAGCTGTTCGGTAGCGTCGTGGTGGAGCATCTTATGCTGCGATCACGCTTCTGGGAGGGTAAAAGCTGAAAGACGCAGTTCAGGGGATGTGTGAGGTCCTTCACAATGTTCAGGGCCCTGCCTCTGCAGCAGCTCAGGAACAGATCCTGGACAGAGGGCAGGGAGATTCCCATAGC